TCGGATTCGAATGGTGGCACTTGGTCCTGAATGGAGAGGGTGTGGGGGTCGGCATGCCAGAGAGGGGGAGAGGGGGGGTTTGTTTTGTACATTGAGTCCATTCAAAATGCGATTGGGTCGCGGTCGAAGCGCTCAAACACCTCGTAGATGGGCTTGCCTAGCTCTGACTCGACAATGGCCAGGGCTGTGTCAGACTCGAACTGCGGCACTTGGTCCTGCAGGAGGAAAGGGGAAGGGGGCATGCGTGGGAGGTGGAGGGAAGAGAAGGAGGGAAGTGAGAGGAGAGGAAGGAGAGGGGTATTTTTTAGAATTCTCAAAAATACCTTTCAGCATCGAGGAGAGGAAGGAGAGGGGCGCAGGATGGGTTGGAGGAAAACAGGGCGAAAGGCGGGAAGCAGGAAATCTCTCGGCCCAGCCCCTCTCACCTGCAGCTCTAAGAGCTCTGAAATGTTCTCCTGCGCCTAGAGATTCGAGCGCGAGGAGAAGCGCAGCAAACCCTCCTTCAATGCAGCACCCTAATGAGAGAACCCCAGCCTTACAGAACGCCCGGCGCAGTCTCTCACCTGCAGCTCTGAGAGCTCAGCAATGTATTCCTGCGCGAGCAGGTCCGAGCGAGTGGAGAACTGCTGGCCGATCTTGATGAACGTGGAACCCAGCCGCAGCAGCCCCTCCTTCAAAGCACCGCCCTAATGAGAGAGAACCCACACCCTATAAAACGTTCGTCCCACCCTCTCTTACCTGCAGCTCTGAGAGCTCCGCAATGTACTCCTGAGCCAGCAAATCCGAGCGCGTGGAGAACTGCTGGCCGATCTTGATAAAGGTGGGGCCCAACCGCAGCAACCCCTCTTTAAGCCACCGCGCCAGCTCCCGCCGCCGCTCGCCCTTCTTCGCGTCCGTGACTCCCCCGCGGTACATCCACGGGCGGTTGATCAGCCACGCCTGGACACGAGGTAAAGGAATGATACGGGGGCGAGGACGGGGTGAGGTAAGGTGATGTGAAAAGTCTGCTGATCTTGGTGTGTTAGTCGTGGGTGTTCCCTGATAGGCGTATTGACCGTCGAATGTTAGTAAGAGCTTCTGAGAGTGTTGAGGTAACTGTTTTGCGGTCCGGTTTAATCAACAGGGATGCATGTTTCCGCTTTTTTTCCATGTTGCAAATGCACGCTTCCCCGTCAATGTAAAATCATGTGAAAATACCATTGCGATTTTCCCCTGACACACTCCGATCTTGAACATTACGAAGTAACTGAGAGCCCCTTATAAAGCGTACCTTGACGAGGAAGACAATAACGAAGCTCCAGATCTCAAAGGTGCGCTGAATGACGGAGTACGTCTTGAAGTGGTTCCACCGCCCGCCTGGCGCCACGGACACCTGTCAACCACGTCAGCAATGCCACGTCAGAAACACTTGAAGACACCATGTTAAAAGCGATTTTTCAGTAATCGACCCTTTTTCGGCTCCGAAGACTCGAAGCTACACAAGAAACCAGACCTGCGGAACCGTATGATGCTACGGATGCTGTGCTAAGATAGGCACTATATTTCACATTGCTAACGGTTGATAACGAGGACGAACCTGCACATTGCTAGCCCGAGCCTTCTCAAACCACGGGCGATCCTCCACTGTAAGCTCCTCCACGCCTCTCGACCCTTCGCCTATTTTCTCCTCCGCAACGACAGCAGCAGCAGTAGCCTTTGCTGCTCCGTTCGCCGCGCCGTTCGCTGCGCCGTTCTTAACGACCTCTTCAGCCAGAACCATTTTCACCGCGCTTCCGTTGCTGGTCGCGACAACCGTCGCGCCGACAACCTTGGCATCTGCTCCGTTCGACGCGCTGTAAAGCGCGCGACCGCCTTCTTCCTCCTCCGGGGTCCATGGGGAGGAATTATCGCCTTGTCTGACACTTCCGTTAGGAGGTGCTTCGATAACAGCGTTAACGCGAAGAGCAGACAAAGAGCGTACATGGTTTAGAGATGACCTCGCTGGGAGAAGCACTCGGCCGGCTGGCGTACTAAGTTTTCCGAGGAACGGACTCCTTTGAAGGACGATCCTATTGCGAGTCTGACCATCTCGACGCGAGGAAGAGATGTCACTTGGAGTGCTGCTCGCTGCTCTCACGGAGGAGAGCCCTGAGCGAAGGGCTTGGCTGGTGGAAGCAGCCATTAGAGCTCAAAGTCCGCACACCTATTGGAATACGGAACCTGAGCTATGAGCCAAGGCAGTTTAGAAGCTGGCTTGGCTTGGTATTTAGAACCTGTTGGTCCCTGTATGACTCAGCACGCGCCGGCTTTTGTGTGAAAATCCCTAGAAACACCGACGCAATGCTGAGCACCAAGAAGAACCTCGAGATTGGTAAGGGAAAATGGAAGGTGGGATGGTTGAAGACTGGATGGAAGGGGATGAAGTGGCGGTGGCTGTGCCGTGTGGTGCACCGTCCACCAAGCTCAAAGCCTGCCTGGTGGTTCTGATTGCCGGGCAGAGGGTTGTGGAAAAACGTTCTCACCAATGAACCGACTTCCAGAAGCCAGGCCAGGGCAGTCAAGCTTCTGTGCTCTGATCCAGGAATCTTGCTATCAATGGGTGGAAAAAGTTTTTGAATGTTTTAACTATGTTTCTCTACGGTGATGCGTGGTTTACTTTGGCGCAGGGGCACCAAAATCCTCCAGCCTTCTGCCGTGGCTTAAACAACTGGAAGAGTGCTCTGAACTTGGCCGTTCGGAACTGTTACTGTTTTGCCCAGAAAGAAATATCAGCCCCAAAGCAAAAAGCATCCCTCAGTCACCCGCGGCGCGAGTTTGCTAGGCCAAAAATGAAGACCACATCGCGAGTGGAATCCACAACTTCAGGACATTTTGCGAAGAGGCGGCCACGTGTAGTCGCGATTTGCTCACTCGTCCCTGACCACGAAAGCCATGTGCTTAGCTGGACGGGATGCTGAGGATGGGCCGTGAGGATAGAGGCTGAACCCGCTACAAGAAGATATAATCAAAATATACACTCTTCAAAGCATAAACATGAAAGGTACATTCTTAGAAACACTGTCCAACGCTTCTGACATCATCTGTAGCAGACACCGATCAGAACTCGTATCATGACGTCAGCCCCAAACACGTGTGGACGCGGAGTTGCAGTTGCTTTTCCGGCCCCACATCAGCACCCGTCCATGATCACCATCCCTCGCTCTGGATCTCCCGCGCTGAAAGCCGCAGCGCTTATCCAGTACCTGCGACGCTATGCTCCCTTAACCGCTCATTCCGTGTCCCGCGCTGCACCCGCAGTTACCAATAGTCGCCTGTCGCTACTCATCAGCCAGCGCGGCTCGAAGCGTCTCTTTTTCCGCAGCTTCCGCGTTGCCAGAAGCTGTCCACGTTTCCGTCCCTCCCCCTCTCGGCTTTCATATTCTCATCTGGCTAGTTTGTTCCCGAGACTCACACCCCTTTCCTCAACACCACCTGAAGTTACTACTTTCAATGCTAGTAGCTCTTCGCGCATTGAGGTTCCTCGACACAGGTTGTCTAGTCGGCGCGCAGGCCGCTGTGCGGACATGGGTTATGAGGACAGCAGCGCTGGGATCCCGGGAAACCCGCCGGGAGGTGCGGAGGCGGTGGATCGAAGCCAAGCCCGATCGGGAATCGGAATTGAATCAACGGCCCCCCGTAGCTCGAACGAACTGGATCAACGGCTGGGGGTTCCCGCGCGCGGGGAGTTGGCGGAAAACGGGGAAGCCACTGAGAAGGTCGAAGCTGGGAAAGGGAGGAAAGGAACGAGGATGGGCGAGCGGACTAGCGGGGGAGCGGGGAAGATGGGAGAGGGTGGAGGGGAAGGGGGAGGCGAGGAGCGAAAGGGAGAGAAATTTAGGCGAGTGAAGGAGAGGAGGAATCGGGAAAAGGCTGACACGGGGACAAACGGGAGGAAGCGCGGGGAACGCGGGGAACGTGGGGAACGGGGGGAACGGGGGGAACGGGGGGGACGGGAGGAACGCGGGGGAGGAGGCGGAGGCGAAGGCGCAGCGTTGATGATTCCAGAGTTTTTGGCTGTTGGGGGCGGATCAGGCGTGGATGGGAAGGATGGTGAGGATACGGGGGGTTTGTGCTGATAAATGAATGGGGTGGGGACCTCTTTGCATTCTAAGGGAATGGGATGAATGGGGTTGGTTTTGAATGGGACGAATGGAAATTGCTGCTACTCGCCCCCTCGCCTCGCCCCCCCCCTCTCGCTCTCTTTCTCCCTAACGCTCCCATCCCTCTCCCTCTCCACTTTCCTCTCTTGCTGCTTCCTGCAGGGCTGTCGCTTCGTGTCGTCTCCTACAATATCCTGGCTCAGGCATGTCATGTGATTTGGCGTGGTGCGGTGCGGTGCGCTGTGGTGCTGGGGCTGTGACTGGCTGGTGCTTCTTGCGACACGAATTCCTCATGCTTATAGCAGTTTGTGCTTGTGCATACGCATGTGTGTGCCCTTTCCATGCGCCTTTGTCTCGTCTAGTTCACGTGCATTGCATAGATGACTTTTGAGTCGACTCAAAAGTCAACTCGCATGTGTGTGCCCTTTCCATGCGCCTTTGTCTTGTCTAGTTCACAGGCGCATTGCATACCTGACCTCACCCATCCACAGGCACACATCAAGAGTGACCTCTTCCCCAACTCACCAGGGAGTTTTTGAGAATTCTCAAAAACTCCCTGCAACGTACCTCACCTCACACACCCACAGGCATACGTCAAGAGTGACCTCTTCCCCAACTCACCGTCACAATCCCTCAGGTGACCTTTCCTTATCAAACTTTCCATTACAATTTACCAGCGAACTTGTCACGCCGGTTTTTTCCCTGGGACCTCGTTTAGGTCTGTTGCATCTGTTGCTGTGCCCATGGCATGATGCTATTTGGAGCTTCTTAAATCTCTCAAAGAAATGACTTCAAAATGGCTGGCTGTGTTGCACATTGATTGCAGCCATGCCCAAGCATGCTACCAGTAAAACATTGTGGCCCTTCCTTTCCCTGTCTTCCATGTCAGTCGTCCCATCTGATTTTCATCCCCATCCCCCCACAGCAACACATTTCACCCCTGCCCTACCCCCATACGTCTCCCTCTCCTCACCTCCCCATCCCCCTTCTCCCCACACGTCTCCACACCACCCCCTCCCCCCTCCGGCCCTCCAGGCAGAGGAATCGGTTCAAGGCGCTTCTCACGCTGCTGCCGGCTCTCTCTGCTGACTTCCTCTGCGTTCAGGTGCTGTTACCACACACCCTGGTAACCACAGGTGCTGTTACCACACATGCTGGTAACAACAGGTGCTGTTACCACACATGCTGGTAACCACAGGTGCTGTTACCACACATGCTAGTAACCACAGGTGCTGTTACCACACATGCTGGTAACCACAGGTGCTGTTACCACACGGGCTGGTAACCTCAGGTTCTGGTAACACAGGTACGAGTGACCTCCACAGCTGGACTAAAAATTCAGCAGCAGGCTGCGTAGAGACGTAGAAAAAGGCTCACGGATCTTCTCTCTGCTCCATCACACCCCTGTCTCCCCACCAGGAGATGGATGAGTACGAAGCGGTGTATCGCCGGCCCGTGGCAGCAGCAGTCTAGTTTTGGGACGTCTCAAAAGCCCCCCTACTTCTTTCACTCCTCTCTTCCCTTCCCCTTTCTCTCTTCCCAGGAGATGGACGAGTATGAGGGTGTGTATCGGCAGCCGATGGCGGCAGCGGGGTGGGAGAGCGTGTATGTGAAGCGGCCGGGCAAGAAGAGGGACGGAAGCGGCATCTTTTACCGATCCAGCAGGTGATGTCAGGCTGTGTCAAAACTATAGAAGCGGCAGTGAGATTGGCAGCTTTTACAATTCATGCAGATGAAGCTGAGGCGCTCATGGGAGATGACTTAGAGGGGAGATGACTTAGAGGGGAGATGACTTAGAGGGGAGATGACTTAGAGGGGAGATGACTTAGAGGGGAGATGACTTAGAGGGGAGATGACTTAGAGGGGATATGACTTAGAGGGGAGATGACTTAGAGGGGAGATGACTTAGAGGGGAGATGACTTAGAGGGGAGATGACTTAGAGGGGAGATGACTCAGAATTTAGGCAGGTGGGGTAACCGATTGTTGTGCCTTGGAGAGACGCGGGTGCTGCAGCTTTTGCTGGTTTGCTTGCCGTGGTTTTTTCCTCTTCGTCCATGAACTGTTGTGTTTCTTCTTCTGATGAAACAAACAAAATAAACCAGCCCTCCTCCTTATATTTCCTCCTACTTGGTTTCGGTTTGTTTTTTTCTCTCTCTCTCTCTCTCTCTCTCTCTCTCTCTCTCTCTCTCTCTCTCTCTCTCTCTCTCTCTCTCTCTCTCTCTCTCTCTCTCTCTCTCTCTCTCTCCAGATTTCGCCTGCTTCGCTCGCAGCCAGTCAGCTTCAACGACCTCGTTCCCCCAGACCACCCAGACGACCCAGTTCAAGCAGACACTACCAGTCCAGACTCGTCTGAAGAACCCCGGAACCCATCCGCCCCTCATGTGTTGGAGGCGACTCAGAAACCAAGTGCCGGTCCTGACTTGTCTGAATCGCGTGACCTGTGTGATCCGCGTGTGCGCTTCAAGCGCGACTGTGTGGCCATCGTTGCTGCTTTCCAAGAAAGGATGGGGGAGGAAGCAGAGGGAAAAGAGGCGGGGGAGAGGGAGAGAAAGGCAGGAGGGGAGGTGGCTAGGGAAGGGATAGGAGGAAGAGGAGGAGAGAGAGGGCAGCAGGAAGAGGGGCGAGTGGTGGTGGTGGCGTCGTCTCACATATTCTGGTCAGTATCTGTGGCGTGTCGGTTTTTTTTTTCGACGCCAAAAACTGGTTTGTTATCAACCAGAGGATTTTCTTGTCATCTTGTGGTAGCTGTTTTTCAGTTGCCCACACATGTTGTACCACACATAGCATGCCATACCACCATACCATGCCATTAACACATGCACCATCCACCCTTCCACACACCCCCAGGGACCCAGCATGTGCAGATGTGAAGCTGGCTCAAGCACAGTACCTGCTGCACCAGGTGGCGCACTTCCGATCCTCTATAGTCACCTCCGCGCACAGTCACCCCTCTGCTAATGGCGTTAAGGCAGCCAACAACACACCGGTCACCATCATCTGTGGCGACTTCAACTCGCTTCCGGGCGACCCTGTAAGTCCAGTTTTAGAGTCCCGTCCCGACCCCTCTGTATAATCGACTTGCAGGATTCAGACCCGCTATAGTCACATTCGCATGGAGTCATCCTATGTTTAAGCCGAATAACTGTGTGCGTGCGTGTCTGTGTTTGCAATAGGGTCAGCTCCCAGTCGTTTTCATTGTTTACCCTCCCATTGCAGGTGTATAAATACCTGACATCAGGCCAGGTCCTCCCCACGATACTAGCAACACCAGCGGAAGCAACAGCAACACCAAGAGCACCAGATGACGCAGCACCAGTAGAAGCAGCACCAGAAGCACCTGCATTTCCAATCGCACCCATACCACTGGCAAGTCTTAATGCTACAGCTGTCAGCAAAGTATTAGCTGCTGTACCAGTTGATGCTGCAGCAGCACGAGACGCAGCCACAGCAGCAGGGGCAGGAGAAGCGACGGGGCGAGTCGCAGCAGGAGAGGTTGCAGGAACAGCAACAGCAGAATCAGAGGCAGTCAGATGCGATGTCGAGAAACAAGTGAATGGTACATTGGTCCATGAGGCAATGAATACTGCTGGAAACAGTATCAGAATGGAAGATATGGCTGAGGGGCGAGGTATTGGGCAAGAACCGGAGCTGACAACGTTCAACCCACCCTTTTGTGGAACGATTGATTACGTGCTTATATCGAAGGACGCGGGGCCGTTTTCGGTTATGTCAACCTTATGGCTGCCTAGCAGGGAAGATGCTAGGCTTGGGAAGGGCCTTCCCAATTTGTATTTTCCGAGTGATCACCTTCCTATTGGTGGGGACATTAAATTCAAATAGCAATATTTTTTTTCTGTTTTATAAGCTTGTTGTGTCACCATCAAACTGCCCAGTATTGTGGCGAGGCGAGTGAAGAGATTCAAGAGTTGCTTTTTGGAGTGTCAGCAGCAGCAAACGTATTAACGAGAGAAGCTGCTTATCCGTATGAACAAGGTAGTGTGCTTGTCTTGCGAAGTCGCGTATCGAAGCGTGCTTCTAGTCTGTAAAAGCGAGTCGCGGAAAGAAGCGCGGGAAAATTGTCGGCATCCTTATCCGACCAGCATTTAGACAGCATTGCGACCAGCACAGCTGCAGCAAGTATGCATCTTACTTTGGACCCTGGTTAGACTTGAGCAGCCTGGAACCTCAATGGCTTGAATCCGCTCGTTATCCGCTCAAGAAGACCTGTTTGTGGAAAGACCTGGTCAGGAGGCTAACGAACGTCCCCACGACTAATTTTAAAAACCTTCTCAAACGTTCAGCCTCACTAAATGGGCTAAGGACCTGTTCTCGTCGCACTTATTCAGGACTTGAACGTTGGTGGGGAAGGAAAGGCTTCATTAGTATCACGCCGCTCAGCTCAGACTGACATACATTTACAAAATTATTATGTCTTTCGTATAGCATTCCGGACCGCCCCGACGAGGAAAATTCCGTTCATTGTCGTCAGCGCGAGAGTTTCCTCATTACGACGCACTGACGAATTATTTTCCTCCTCAGATCATGCCGTTTCGGTCTGTAGCAGCAGCGGCGGCGCCGTTCCACCAGGCTGTTGCTGCAGCCGCCGCTGCAGCTACAGGCTGTAGAGAGGAGGATTTTATCCGGAGACGGGCAAGCTGTAGCAGGAAAGGGGTCGTCAGTAGCCAGACAGGCTGTAGCGGAGAGGCTTTTATCCGTAGGCAGAAATGCTGTAGCGATGTAGCTTGTAGCGGAGGGTTGATCACAGGCTGTAGCCGAAGCATTTACGGTTTAGATACGACACCCTGTAGCAGAGCGCGAGACGGGATGCGCCGTGGCCGCAGCCCGATGGTCGAGACGACCAACGGCTGTAGCACTGCGGATTGCACGATAACCTGTGCCGGCCACGAGTCTGCTCGGACGACCAGTGGCTGTAACGCAGACGCTACAGCCGCCGGGGCGGAGTCATCGCGCGTGCTGGCCGCGATTGCATGCGGCGCGGCTGTAGCAGGTGCCGTGCTGGCAGCGGGCCCCGCTCATGCTGCTACAGCCGCCGCAGCCACCGGTGCTGCTACAGCCGCCGCGGCCACCGGTGCTGCTACAGCCGCCGCGGCCACCGGTGGCGCTACAGCCGTTGTTGCATCCGCTGCTGTCACAACCGTCGCAGCGGGCGGCGGGCTGTCAGACGGAGCTGTGTGGGCCGTTCTCTGCGCGTGCGCTGCTGGCGCCCAGGTGACTATAACGAATGTGTTCAACTGACATTGTGATTTCTATTATTTCACCGTGACTGTATGATCATCTTGATATCATGGACGGGTGGCTCCGTGTAAGAGGTGAATTTTTGAGACGCCTAAAAAATTCACTTCTTACACGTGGTTTCACCGTGACTGTATGATCATCTTGATATCATGGACGGGTGGCTTCCCCCTCCTCACCGTGTGGATCCCACGTCCATAATCTATCTCCTCCCCCCCTCTCCCTCTCTCCTCTCCTCCTCTCCCCTCCTCCCCCCCCCCTCCCCCCTCTCCTCCCCCCTCTCCTCCCCCCTCTCCTCCTCTCCTCTGCTCCCCCCTTCTCCCCACCATCCAACTTCAGGAGCAGTGCTTTTTGAGAATTCTCAAAAATCACTCACAACAACTGCAGGAGCAGTGCGCAGAATGCATCCAACGTGCCAGCAGAGCAGCAGCAGCAGCAGGTGACTTTGGTTCTCAAAGTCATGCCCTTCACGCGCTCTCTGTCCCTCTCTTCCTCTGTCCCTCTCTTCCTCTGCCCCATTCTGCCCTTCAGAATCGTATCAGTTCTCATGGCCATGCTGTGTGCTCTCTCCTCTCTTTCGTCACTGTGTGCCCCCGTGTGTTTGAACAAGTGGTTTGAGACGTCTCAAAACACTTCTTCAAACACGGGAGGGGGTGCAGTGAGAGGGTAGCGGGTGCAGGGAGCGTTTTGAGACGTCTCAAAACACTTCTTCAAACACGTAGCTGCGTGTGTGGGAGGGGAGGCAGGATGTATGAGCTGTTTTGAGACGTCTCAAAACACTGTGTGCCCCCGTGTTTCCCTCATCCACCCCCCCTCTCCCCTACTCCCCTCAGCTGCTAGAGCAGCGCACGTCATGGGGTGAGCTCTCGCGTCTCTCTTTTCTCCATGTGCTCCCTCTCTTTTCTCCATGTGCTCCCTCTCTTTTCTCCATCCACCTCCCCTCCTCCCCTCCATCCCCCCTTCCACCCTCAGCTACTGGAGCAGCGCACGTTGTGGGGTCAGCAGGTGTCCTCAGTGCTGCTAGCCATGCTGTGAGGCCTCTCGTCTCTTTTTCCCCATCCACCCCTCACCCCCTCCCCTCTTCCCCCCTTCCACCCTCAGCTACTGGAGCAGCGCACGTCGTGGGGTCAGCCGGTGTCCTCAGTGCTGCTAGCCATGCTGTGAGGCCTCTCGTCTCTTTTTCCCCATCCACCCCTCACCCCCTCCCCTCTTCCCCCCTTCCACCCTCAGCTACTGGAGCAGCGCACGTCGTGGGGTCAGCAGGTGTCATCGGTGCTCCTAGCCATGCTCGCAGCGGCCGTGCTCGCCTCCCTCTCTGTGCTGCCCACCGCCTCTCCCGTCTATGATTTTGTGAGTCAGCGGCAAAAAAAAAAAAAAAATATATATATATATATATATATATATACATATATATAATTGAGCATGGCTGCGTGTGTTTGTTCTGAGCCAAGTTGTCTTTTTTGCTTGTTTACTGTCTTTACTTCCTGAGCTCACGAGTTCATGATATTTATTTTTTTTCTGTGCCTGCCAATCAGGTGTGGACACGTGTCATGCCCATGGCTGTGGCTCTGGTGCTGTTAGAGACAGATGTGACGTCAGCATTCACACAGTCAGGTGAGGCATACGTCATCCCGTGCCATTCTATGCTATGCAGGACCTTACAACAAGCTACCATATGTCATGCCATCCCATGCCATGGCCATCCCATGCCAACAATGCCATGCCATGCCAACAATGCCATCCCATGCCATGCCGCCTCGCCTTATCACTTGGCATACGCCCTCTCTCGCCCGCTCTCTCCTCCCCTCCCCCACTCCCTTGCCTATCCCAATCAGGTCCCAGCCTGCTAGTCTTCCTTCTGGGCAATTTTCGAAATGTCTCAAAAAGCCTCTCTCTCCTCTCCCCCTCTCTCTCCTCTCCCCCTCTCTCTCCTCTCCCCCTCTCTCTCCTCTCCCCCTCTCTCTCCTCTCCCCCTCTCTCTCCTCTCCCTCTCTTCCCCTGCCTTTCCCTCCAATCAGGTCCCGGCCTGCTAGCTTTCCTGCTCGGCGCAGCGGGCACGATAGCAGGGACACTTGTCGGCTTCTCGTTGGCGGGGCCTTCCCTGGGAGTGGAGGGGTGGAAGGTGGCGGCTTGTTTCTGTGCAACGTACATTGGGGGGAGCGTGAACCATGCAGCCACCGCTACGGTGGGATGAAGAGGATGGAGAGACAATGAGAGAAGAGAGTTGAGGAGTTCAATTACTGGTGGAATAAACTAATGGCAGTCAAGAACCTCCTTGTAGCCGCCTCACCTTCTAGGTGACTTTTGAGTCGACTCAAGAGACAATGGGAGAAGAGAGTTGAATTGAAGAACTCCTGTTCACACATCCACCAGGCGCTAGGCATGGAAATCACAGCAGGGGCAGCAGCGGCCAGCACGGGAGCAAGCCTACTAACAGCAGGCATGGCGGTCGACAATCTCGCATGGTTGCTTACTTCTCTCTGCTCTCTATCTCCCTCTCCTCCGTTCCTTCCTGTATTCACGTACATATCAGGCCCTGGGCATGGACATTAGTGCAGGAGCAGCAGCAGCCAGCACGGGAGCGAGTCTGCTGACAGCAGGCATGGCAGTTGACAATCTCCTCATGGCTGCTTACTTCTCCGTGCTAGCTGCTCTCCCTGACTCCTGGCCCAAACCGTGGGGTGGGGAGAGGTGGGGAGGGGTGAAGCTAGAAGGAGGAGGCTCTGAGACGGAGAAAGGGCCAGATACAGGGCTTTCTGCTCCTCTCCTCCACTCTTCCCAGTCTCCCTCCTCTCCTCCTTCCTCCTCTTCTTCCTCTTCCTGGTCATTGCACTCTCCTGCTCCTCTGCCTTCTCCCTCCCCTCCCTCCTCCTCATCCCTCACTCACTCTCCACCCGCCGCCCCCTCGGTAGAGTCCCTCACTCTCTCCATTGCCGCTGCCGCCTCGGCATGCGCGCTAGCAGACAAAATT